ACGCTCCGGTCGAATAAAATTCGCCGCCGCACGAAGTTGACTGTCTACAAGACGCTGATTAGACCGGTGGTCCTTTACGGCCACGAGACCTGGACTATGCTCGTGGAGGACCAACGCGCCCTTGGTGTTTTCGAACGGAAGGTGTTGCGTACCATCTACGGTGGAGTGCAGATGGATGACGGAACGTGGAGGAGGCGAATGAACCACGAATTGCACCAGCTGCTGGGAGAACCATCCATCGTCCACATTGCAAAAATTGGGCGACTACGGTGGGCTGGGCACGTCGTAAGAATGCCGCACGACGACCCAGTGAAAATGGTTCTAGAAAGCGACCCAACAGGAACAAGAAGAAGAGGCGCGCAGCGGGCAAGGTGGATCGACCAAGTAGAAGGTGACCTGCGGACCCTTCGCAGACTACGAGGCTGGCGAACTGTGGCCATGGATCGAGTAGAGTGGAGACGACTTCTTCGGACAGCAGAGGACAACAAGGCCTTAGCCTGATTGGTAAGGTAAGGTAAGTAACTTGCCTATGCAAGCATAGTGAAAGACCCCCTTTCCACCATCAACTACAGGGCCGAGACGACTATGTTGAACGAAGGCGGCGGTAGGCGGGACTGTGTTGGGGCGATCAGGAGGCTTCCATCAGGCTTTCTACGGTGCGTCTCGGGGGCATTGTTGATTCGTCAGATGAGGGGATTAAGGGTTGACTGTTATACTGGGTGTACCTAAAGGTGTGCCCGTTGGAGAACCACCGGGAATAGTCTCTCAGCAGGGAGTGCTGGGATATCAGGAGGTAGCCATACATTTGTGTTCGCCTGAGTATATTTATCAACGTTCATATGCATTCCATTTTTCTGGACCATATAGACAGCCGCTCAATGTCAGCTTGCAGAGCACAGCAGTCCAGATGTGATTGCATTGCCTCGGTATTTTCAGTTCATCCGCATATAATATCTTTTCGGAGCACTGAATATATTGCAAAGGTCACTTACGAATAGCACAAAGATCACGGGACCTAAATGACTTCCTAGTGGCACACCCGATGGAATTGCAAACTCAACGGATTTGGCACCATGAACCCAATATTGTAGATCAAGGCGATCCTTTTTTAGAATGGTGAGTTCGTGGTGCACTTTATCGAAGGCTTCCGAGAAATCAACATAGATAGAGTCCATTTGTTGCCGCTTTTCGATTCTGTTGATGAGCTTATTGGTAACCGACATAAGATTCGAGATAGTCGAGCGTTTTTTCACGAATCCGTGCTGAATCTTCGAGATCACAGGCTGTACAATCGGATACAATGAGTCGTGAATCAAACTCTCAAGAACTTTGGCCAAACAGTTCATAATGGATATCGGACGGTATAGTTTTCTACACTGTGCATGTTGCCTGTTTTAAAAATAGGACTTATCGACGCAAGCTTCCACGTTGAATTTGTTGAATTTTCACTTAAATTTGACACTTCGAAAATAATTTAAGCCTCAGTGCTCCGAAAAGGTATTATATGCGGATGAGCTGAGCAAGTCAAACTGCTTCAAGGAGCTGTGTCGAGACGCTGATGCCAACCCCTGGGGTGACGCATACCGAGTCGCGATGGCGAAGATTAGAGGTCCAACGATGCCCGTTGAAATGTGCCCAGACAAGCTGAAAGTCATCGTGGAGGGACTTTTCCCGAAGCACGACCAAATGACCTGGCCACCTACACCGTACGGCGAGGCAGAGGCAGACAACACCGAAGGTAGACAAGTCTCCAACGAGGAACTCGTAGCAGTGGCGAAAGGACTGAAGACGAAGAAAGCTCCCGGTCCAGATGGAATCCCCAACGTGGCGTTGAAGGCGGCGATCCAGGCGTTCCCGGACATGTTCAGGATAGTGCTGCAGAAGTGTCTGGATGAAGGTCACTTCCCGGACCGATGGAAGATACAGAAGCTAGTGCTGCTGCCGAAACCCGGAAAACCGCCTGGGGATCCAGCATCGTATAGGCCTATATGCTTGCTGGATACAGTCGGAAAGCTATTGGAGAAGATCATCCTCAACAGGCTAACGAAATTCACGGAGAGTGAGCATGGATTGTCGGTGAGGCAGTTTGGATTCCGGAAAGGGAGATCAACGGTGGATGCAATTCGGACAGTGGTCGAGAGTGCCGAGAAAGCGTCTAAACAGAAGCGGAGAGGAGATCGATATTGCGCCGTGATAACGATCGACGTGAAGAACGCATTCAACAGCGCCAGCTCGGAGGCCATCGCCGAAGCACTGCATGGAATGAGGGTTCCTGATTACCTGTGTAGCATTATAAGGAGTTACTTCCAGAACCGGATTCTAGTCTACGAGACGGACATGGGAGAGAAATCAATCCGGATCTCGGCGGGTGTGCCACAAGGCTCCATCCTTGGCCCAACGCTCTGGAACGTGATGTACAACGGCGTGCTAACGTTGAAGTTGCCCAAAGGAGTTGAGATCGTAGGATTTGCGGACGACGTCGTGTTGGCGGTAGTAGGCGAGACGTTAGAAGAGGTAGAAATGCTGGCAACCGAGGCGATCGACACGGTTTCCAACTGGATGCAAGGAGCGAAGGTGCAGATAGCCCACCACAAAACGGAAGTGCTATTTGTCAGTAACTGCAAAGCTGTTCAGCGAGCAGAAATTACCGTCGGGGAGAACGCCATAGCATCATAGCGCGTGCTGAAGTATCTGTGGTGTATATAGCCAGATATGGTAATGGTAGAAATAACTTCTGTAACACTCTTGTAAAATTGCTGTTATGGTCTCGATCATTCATGTATTAATGAAAAGAATTGAAAACAATCTTATTAAATGAAACAGATGGTTATCTCGATCAGTGTATATTACCAAGTTTCAACAAATAGCACACAGCTCTACTTTGACACAGAATAGACTAACAAAGAGTTGTCGGCTCGAGCTCGACTAGTACTGGAATAAGTTCGGAAATGAGTTGAGTAGACGGGAAAGGAAATACGTTTCATGAAGCGTGTGATAGCGTCTACATTTGTATGTGTGAAGGAGAAGGAGAGAGAAAATGAGTCTGTTCGGTACGTGAAGGTTCGTAAGACTGGAAGTCAGTTGGCTGCTCGAGGAAATTCATTCTGTTGGCGATTCTTCATACGGATGGACGAAATTTGTATCGAAGGATTTTTGGCAATCTTCGTTCACGACAGTATCTTGGAGTGATGATCGATGACCGGCTTAACTTCAATAGCCACGTCGACTACGCATGTGAGAAGGCGGCGAAGGCCATCAATGCGATAGCCAGAATCATGCCTAACAATTCTGGACCAAGCAGCAGCAAGAGGCGTCTTCTGGCTAGTGTATCGTCGTCGATACTGAGGTATGGAGGTCCAGCTTGGGATGCAGCGCTGAAAACGAAGAAGAACCAAAGAAAATTGAACAGTACGTTCCGCCTCATGGCCATGCGAGTCGTGAGTGCGTACAGAACAATTTCGACGGAAGCAGTATGCGTTATCGCCGGTATGATACCCATCGTCATCACCTTGGCGGAGGACACCGAATGCTATATGCGAAGAGATACCAGAGGAGTTCGAAAAATGGTGAGAACGGAATCGATGGTTAAGTGGCAACAGGAGTGGGACGCAGCGGAGAACGGTAGATGGACACACAGGCTAATACCGATTCTTTCGACCTGGGTGAACAGGAAGCATGGAGAAGTCAACTTCCACTTGACGCAGTTCCTGTCTGGTCATGGCTGCTTCAGGAAGTACCTGCATCGCTTTGGACACACAACGCCACCCCTCTGTCCGGAGTGTGGCAACGTAGACGAAACGCCGGAGCACGTGGTTTTCTACTGCCCAAGATTTGAGGCAGTGCGAGTGGAGATGCCGGCCCTTAGCGCGAGAAATGTCGTCAGTGAAATGTGCCGGGATGAGAGGACGTGGAGCGTCGTCAGCAGGGCAGTGACGCAAATTTTGTCGGAGCTGCAGCGAAAATGGAGAGATGATCAGCGAGTTAGCAACGCCGGCTAACTGAGCTAAAGAGAAGTGTTTGAGCACAGGCCCCCCGAGACGAGTAAGGTTTTAGTGGTTAAAAGTCCCACACTGTGCCAGAAGGAGAACAAACACGCAACACAGTGACAGGCCGGGCTTTTGAAGCTTTCCTTACTATAAAAAAAAAACACACACACACACACACGCATTCTTGACAGCAAGTTACGGTTTCATTATCACATCTCGTTAACAGTTGCTAAAACGTATGCGATGTTTGGATTTATGCGCCGCAATACAGCGACTTCAAAGTATAAACGTCGTCGAATGCCGCAATACAGCTTATTTCGATGACGTTTATACTTTGAAGTCGCTGAATTGCTCATTAGCCCGAAGTGTCCTAAAATATACCGAACAGGTTTGGGACTCCATATCATAATGTTCATGTCCAACGAATCGAACGAGTTCAGAAACGCTTCGTCAGGCACGCTTTATGGGGTCTACCTTAGAATGATCCCTTCAACCTCAGACCAACGGTGTGCACTTATTGGATTGCAAACTTCAGAGAGCAGACGGTTGATGCTCCAGAGGTTGTACATCTTCGACATTTTAACCGGCAACACCGATTGTAACAGTATACTTCGGAATGTGTGCTTACATGCACCTGACCGCCAACAACGAAATCAGCAGACCCTGTGGATTCCTAGTCACCGAACCAACTACGACCAACATAATCCATTAGACGCGTGCTGCAGAGCCTTCAATGAAGTCTGCCATGTATTTGATTTCAACATTAGTTAATCAGTATATAAGAATAGGATTAAGTCATTTGAAGCAGTCTGTACGACCATGTGGTCGAAGGCGGTGAACTAAGAATAAATAAATTTTGTAACAGTACATCTCCTGTGACTACCTCCAATTCGAACGAACATAGACAACACCCGAATAGTCCCCACTAGGATGTGACAGTCACTACACAGTCAAAGTTCCAACTGCAACTCTCATTTGCAAAACCATCGACAACGGTTTTAGTTTTATTTTATTATAGTCACTACTCTTTGTGGTCATTTGTGACTTATCCGGGGATGAGATTTGAACTCACGACTTTGGCGTGATGATAACCATTACGCCGGGGCCGTCCCCAACCGGTTATCTGTATTTTCGAAAAACATCTATGCATGTAGGTACTTCAGCGTAAAACTACTAAACAAATTACATTTTGTGTCTGGGTGTGATGTCACAAAAAATCAACATTTTCAACAGTGAAAAAAAATAACGCAAAAACATACATTATCACATCTGTAACCACTCCATCTCCCCCTGGGTTGTCCTATCCGAATACTTACAGTAGTAGTATTAGCTCTGATAGAAATTAGAAAACACAAAACAAAAATTCCTGCCATATCTCAGAGAATCTCTCCACTGACCTCGGCGCCATCGTCTCCTCAGTAACAATCGGCGTCGTTAACCTCGGCAGCGTAGTACGAAAACAGTACGTCATCCAGCAGCGATGCGAAGCTTTCCGTCTTGCACATCCATCGCTCCCGACTCCGGACCAGCCCGTCAAAGTCGATCTTCGTCACCTTGGCCAGGAAATCGTCCGGCGTAACCTGGGCGTACTCCTTGAATTGCTCGTTGTGCACATTGATCGTCTCACAGTTGCATGAGTCTCCCACGAAGGCTGACGCTGCTCCCGCAGCAGCGACCTTCAAGTTATTTTTGTAGTTGATCGATAGCAGGTTGACGTCATCCAGATTCACGATCGAATCGATGATCTCCTCCGAATTGATCAAGCAAGGGACGTTCCCGCTGCTGTAGTCGGCATCGTTCCGCTGGGAGGATTTTAAGGGGGATGCCGTTTTCGCGTGCTCCGAATAGTTGGTGTCCATCACGGGGACAGCCACGCTGCGGCGCGTGCGATCGCCATTCACCGGATCGCCGAGAAGATTTTTGTACTCTTCCATGTAGTTGTATCTGTTCAGGATCGACATCAGCCGCTGAATGATTTTAACGGTTTCTTTCAGCACTGGCAAGTCACACTTGTCTTCTAGGCAGGCCAGCAGCACTCCCAGACAACCCCGCAGCGAGAGCTCGTTGAGGACTTTCCTGAGGCGCAGCAGAATTTCCTTGTTCGTGAGGGTTATGATCTTTTTGTGCTCCTTGGAGAAGGTTACCGCCGGGAAGGTACCGTCGATCATCCCCTGGTGCTGGAATTGACGGCACATGATCACCTGCCAGAACGTGAGGGCGTTCAGTTTGACCTCCCAGTATAGGTCGTTGACGGTCGAATAGGTCAGTACCGAGAATACACTGTCCAGACACTGCGGGTGGATTTTGTGGTTCGAGTAGATCTCGCGTACCGTGTTGACCGCTTCGCGCCGAACGACGCCCTCGCTTTCGGCGTCGAACACCGTGATGAGGTGGTTCTGCGGGGGGGAGATGGAATAAATTTGGGTGAGTTGGTTTTCAGATAAGCTGTTGATCATGTCTAGTAGCTCCGGAGAGGTATTCTGGATGTTTCTTAATAAAAAAAAAACTGATCAAAGCTGTTGGTGTGCGAAGTTTGAAAAAAATATACGATTATGAACAATGGCGGCGGAACAGTCAGACATTGACGAGACAGACGTGGCGTTGGGATTCTTTAATAACATTTAATGAATGGTTGATGAGTAAAAGGTGGAATGGTAAAAGGTAAACACCCCTATTCTGTATTTCGTTTCGAACGAAATTCTCATACAAAAAAATATTTTTTTGTATGAGAATTTCGTTCGAAACGAAATACAGAATAGGGGTGAAAATTAGACAACAGATCAAGGACAAAAAGCTTAATTAGACCTGGGGGTACAAAAGGTAGAACGTATTAAAAGTCAAATGAACAAAAGATCGAATTCTCCATCTCGAATGGTTGTAGGACAAAAGGTACAATGACAAAAGGTCGAATGGACAAAATTTCTAAAAGGAAAAAAGGTCAATGGTACAAAATAGACAAAAGGTCGATTTCTACAAGGTAAATGAGAATAACTCAGAGAAAGAGTCACTTCTACTCAGTTGTATGAAGAAATTTCTTAAAACTGCAGGAACTCAGCTCTGAGTAACTGCAGTTTTTAAAAATTTCTCATACAACCGAGTAGAAGCAACACTCTCTCTGAATTATTATCATTGTCAACGACAACATATCGAAAAACAAAAGGTCGAACAACCAAGATTATCAAAGTTAGTAATAGCGTTAAGTATGTAGGAGAAAAAAAGATAAATGGACAATATGAAAATGGCCAAAATTATCTTCTCTTGAACAGGACAGGATAAAAAGTCGAAATGGATAAAAGATCGAAATGAACGGTCACCCATTCCAAGACTTTGGATCTTCGACCTACCATCAAATTCAGCTGCACCAGCGAGTGCTCCCACAGCAGCCGGATCTTGACCATCAGCGTTAGACAGCGGAGGGCCGACGCCCGGACGTACGGTTCCGTGTCGTTCTTGGCCGCCGCCTCCACCACCGGAATAATCTCGCAGTCCAGAATGTGCTTTTGGAAGGTGGGGAATTCTGCAAACAAACAAAAATTGAAAACCTGGGAAGAATTCGCCACCAAAGTGTCGGAAAGTAGTTACTGATTTCGGAGATTTCCACGATCGAAGCGAGCAGTTCCAGGGCCGAGTCTCGCACTTCCCAGTTGCTGTCGTGCAACCGCTTGTAGACGATCCGTCCGACGAACTCCAGCCCGGAGCCCTTGATGTTGTCCATCAGCAGGGCTAAGTTGGGCGACAGGCCGTGTTCGATCGACAGCTGGGTCAGTTTAAGGGCCAACACGACGTGCTGCGATGGAAAAAAGAAGACATCAGTTGGTTGCGACGAACCGGTAGGTGACTTCTTACTCTCGGCGGCAAATTGGGATTGCCAAGCAGATTGAGCATAAAGTTGACCAGGGTGGACGATTCGATGCATTCCTTCCAGTTGAACTTGTAGTGCTGGATCAACGTGTGCAGAGCGTTGATGATTGCCGCCAGTAGGTTGGGCTTCGACAGGATCAGATCGGTTTTGGAAAAATCGGACTGGTTCTGCAGGTAGCACTGCTCCGGCAGGAACTCCTTCAGGACCAATATGAACGCCTGGAAGGCTATTATGGCCCGCGACCGGGGCAACGTGTGCAACGAAGCAATACCCTGGATAGATTTGATAGCCAACTCGGTGACGCTCATGTTGTACGCCTGGAACACATCCCGGCAGGCGTACATAAGCCGGACGGTGAATTCGCACGAGATGTCGAACAACTTCACGCAGAACTGCTCGATGTAGTCCGGGGGGTTCTTTGAAATAAGCGACTTGCTTTCGTAGATCACGGGAAACAGTTGCAGCAGCAGGATCTGGTCCCCGAACTTGATGTTTTGATTTTTGAGGACCACTTCCTCTGGGGCACGGTCGCCCAGCAGACGCCAAGCGTGGTGATGCATCTGGCCCATCAGCATAACGTTGTGGACGTTTCCCCGCCGGATGGAGAAGTTTACATAGTTCAGGAAGTTTATAGTGTACTTCTCGAAGGGCAGATCCGTGGTATTGGTGTCTTCCGAGGGGATATCCATGCATCCCAAGCGGGTGCAGTTGGCCAGGATTTGCGTCTCCCATAGCTTCGTCAGATAGCTATGATCCTGAATGGTATCGGCGTACAACCAGAGATTCCTTTCGAAATGGTACGTGATCAGGATGTAGTAAGCAGCTCGGATACGCTTCTTCCCTTCCAGCATCTTCCGGAAAAGCGTGCACATCAAATTCAGCATCGATGTCATCACTCGTTGCGATTTCTCATCATCAACCAGCACCGTATGCTCGTGTTCCGTGCTCGAGGTCTTCCACATGCCATCCAGCAGCGGAGATATAATACAATGAACAATTTCTTTCACCAGCTCGTAATCCCCGACCATTCCGAACCGCTCCAGAACCTCGTACATGAAAAACGAAGTCTCCTTCATTATGAAAATCGTTTGCAACTGCCCATTATAGTAATCCAGACAAATTTTCCACGACTCGGAACTCTTGATCCAGCTCAATCCCATCGCGTGTTTTGAAATGGCCTTCAAAACCATCACATGCCCCAGGCGAACCGAAGCGTGCTGGAACTTACTGTCTCTCTGGATACATTCCTGAAAACGATCCAACATTTTCGAATTTTGAACCTTCGCAAAATCCCACTCGTCCTCCACGATTCTAGCCAAGATCTGCAACGTAAATGCGGCCACATCCATCGAAGGTACCGTCTCGCTTTCCCACTGTTCCAGTGCTTTCCCCAACCAATTCAACACCTCCTGACCCTTCAGCAGCTTCCGATGTTCTACAAAGAAATCCGATTGCAATCAATCATAACATCCCACATTGATAACACACGCACACTCACCACTATCGTACTTCCCGGTCAAATGAGACACGATCATCTCCAGGTAGACGTCATTGTTGATCGTAAAGCTGCGATTCAGCAGCGCTTCCAGCACCTTGTGGAACCTTTGCTGGCAATCCTCGCACTCGTCGTCCGGATGCACCGTGAACCCGCCATTCAACACCGCCGACATGATAGACGATACCGTACCTATTAACCTTTCGGCGCCCTTAATTGCCTTCCCGGCTACCTGTCGCCTGCAAAAACCTTCAATTCCCAACTAATGCGACTCAGAACTCGCTTTTAGAACGAAAGCATCTTCCAGGTACCTACCGCCGCTCAAAACCACTGGAGGACTGTTGTTAGGAAAAGTGTCGAGGTCGAGGCAAATATTTGTCCAAACACGAACAGGCACTTGAGCGGATGGTTGTTTGCACTCACAAACTGCCAGAGGAACGTCCAGATATCGTATCGTTTTACCAGAACTTGTGCCTCCGAAAACGAATCGGCTGGAGCGATCAGGAAGCTAGCGAAACTTACGACGTGGTGACGAAATTATTACCACCGATTTTGACAGATTCGGTTGTGTTCACTATGCGCGCGTGGTGCCGTCGGTGTGGGTGTGAGTGCGTGTTGTCGATCGGAAAGATTGGAAATCATTCAATGATTTTATAAAAACAAAACAATCTTTTTGTTGGTTTTTTGATCGCTGATGCGTACGAGCAGTGGCAAAAGTGTAGGAAGGGGCAGTGTCGCGCAGCGCACTTCTGGCGTGACATGATGCACTACATTAGGTTGGTTCAAATCTGTCTCGCAAAAAATGTTATAATCTTAATTGAGGGGCTGTGCCTTTACCGACTAACCTAAGGGAGGCCCCAACTTCATAAATCAGCTATATTGTAAATACACACTTCGAAAAATATACAAAAAATACTTAAATGCGAGCTCGTTAGAACTAAAATACCCTTAATGAAGTATGGTTTAATACAAAAATACACAAAACTTGAAAATACATACAACTTTTCAATTCTGGTAGATGAATCGAAAATACTCAAGTAGACAGCCACTCGAGAAGGAGAGATGGGTGTTCCAACGAGGTCCACATGAATTGAAAACTAAAATATTATCTTTGAATTAAATTTAAAAGCATGTTTAATTCAACAATATTGAAATCAATCCTATTTGACATCATCTGTCGCAGACGTGTCTGGATTTGGTTGACGTTTTCTGTCGTTCCTGTATATGACGAACCAGAATCGAATCATTGTCCGGTGGGACATGACCAAGCGAGAACAGTTGGTGGTGAAAAAGGTGCAGAAGACGGCAGTTCATTTGCTCGCCATTTCGCAGAATCTGAAGTTTTTAGCAGTGGCCGATGAGATTAAGTGCTGGGTTTGAGTGACACTGGAGCTGGTTAATACTCTGAGTGGGCATTCAGATGTTATTACCATTATTACCACGATGGATTCCCAGTATAATACGAATGGTAAAGGTCTGGTCCTTGGATGAGTGATGCTCTACGTCGAGACATTATACGGTCATCAAACGCCGGTTACCAGCATAGATACCCTTTCTCGATAACTCTGCACTACTTCTGAGGGAAGCGACGAGGGATTGCTATATTTGCGTCAGGAATATTGTGGAAGAATCGAAGATGGTGTGCACGGATAGCGTCGATTGTGACAAGTTGGTTGGTAACAAACATTTCGTGTCCTGTGCAACTCATTGTTTCCTATTGATTTGGAGCTCCGGCAAGAAAACGCCCGAGAGTACTGTAAAGTTTGCCCATGGAAAGACAGCCAATGGGAAGGCAAATTTGTGGGAATCCCAGCGCAAGCAGATGTACACAGGTTTATCCAAACCGAACTACCGGACAATAAACACCCGTCTCGGGAGTCGCGTGATACCAAAGAAAAATAACCGCGGACTACGTTCTACGTGCGTCTTTATTTACAAGTTCCAATGGACTAGTCAACAAACATAAATTGTACACACATCAGCAATTTATGCTTCGTCAGTCTCTCACTCTCACGCACTCATACACACTCATACGGCAGCTGTCATTCTCGATCTTGGGAGCCACTATAGAGACTCACATGATAGATGCGCGTATCCAGGGGCTTTCACTACTTACTTCCAACACTCCTCCTTAGTGAAGCCCACTACTGCATCTACTTACAACACTCCTCCTGTTCCGTAGCACTACTCCTGCTTTACGTCACTACCGGCTGCCTTAGGTAGTACAGCCCTCCGATCCGGTCACCTATAGCAACAACCTTTTTGCCTTTCTGGATTCTGCAATCCTTCACACCAAACAGCACATCATAGCCATTGCTTGTGATTTGGCTCACTGACAGCACACTTCCGGACAATCCAGGCACATACAGCAATCCCTTCAGTTGCATGTCAACGGACTCGCCTTCCAAGCCGACTCCAACGATCCTTCCATGTCCGGTTCCTCTGGAAGTTACATTTCTCCCGTCCGCCAACGACACCTTCTCTTCGCAAAACGTCATGCTGTCGAAGCTCGCCGTCGAACCAGCCATGTGCTTCGTACAGCCAGTGTCGATGATCCAACGACCGTCAATCGACACATCACTTGCAGTCGTCGTCGTGAAGCACACTCCTCGACTACTGCCAATGCTACCGGCATCCGATTGCTTAACCACCATCGACTTCGCTTGGTTCTGCTGCCTCTCCGCCATCAACACAGGACAATTTCGCCGCAAGTGCCCTTCTTGCTTGCAATGGTAACAAACCCGTACAAAACTTCTCCGTTCTTCCGATCGCATTGTGGTTTTCATCGCCATTTCACTGGCCTTTTCATGCACTTTGTTCTCGCATCTTCTCCGCCACTCATCTAGAAGCTTACCTTTCACGTACTCCAGCTTCAGGTCTTCTTCTGGACGGCCTTCAAGAGCAGTAACGAGCGGGTTGTACGTCTCCGGCAAACTTGACAACAAAATCGCCACAACAAGATGTTCCTTCAACGGCTCTCCCATGCTGGCTAGTCGGTGAACCAACTCTGACGCTTGGACTAGATGCTCCGACATACTGCCATCTTCTTTCAGCCGCATCGAGCACAATCTCCGCAGTACATGGATCTTGTTCGACAGAGACCCTCGCTCGTGGTAGCCTTTGAGCTTGTCCCACATCTCATTTGCACTAGCAGCTCCCATAACATGGCACAGCTGACCATCTTCTAGCGCCAAACCGATCGTCGCTCGAGCCTTTTCGTTGTTCCTCGTCCAAGCTGCTGTAACCACCTCCGGCTTCGCGTCAATCACCGTTGTCCACAGATTTTCTTTGAGCAGCAACAACTCCATCCGGAACTTCCAAGTTGCCCAATTAAAATCGTTCAACCGGTCTAATGTTATCTTCGTCTCGGCCATTTTCCACGAAACAAAAACACTACGCGCACGGTCGGGCAAAGAAAACAGCTTCACAATCGAGCGAACAATGTTCACAATTCGATACTTTCCACAAAGTGTTCTTTCTTATTCCACTATAAGCTTTTTTCCGAACGAAGCGTACTTCTTCAGTTCAAACAATCGCACTTTTAGAGACCGGACCAGCAAACAATAAGTTTGCACTTCAGCCCGTACAGGAGAGAAAAACAAAATTTCTCCTCCTCGAACAAAACTTTTTCCGTTTCGTATTCCGTTCCGTGCTACACACTTGGCCGATACTCCACTGCCAACAGCACAATTTCACCCGACAAAAACGTTCAGCTGCGGACAACAGCACATACACCCGCCGGGGGAAATCTTCTCGTAAACAAAGCACAAACGCAACGCAATCCACACAAAATGTCTCCTCCACCGGAGAACACTTTTCCACTATTACTTTCTTCACGGATCTGGGCCCATAACCTGTGGGAATCCCAGCGCAAGCAGATGTACACAGGTTTATCCAAACCGAACTACCGGACAATAAACACCCGTCTCGGGAGTCGCGTGATACCAAAGAAAAATAACCGCGGACTACGTTCTACGTGCGTCTTTATTTACAAGTTCCAATGGACTAGTCAACAAACATAAATTGTACACACATCAGCAATTTATGCTTCGTCAGTCTCTCACTCTCACGCACTCATACACACTCATACGGCAGCTGTCATTCTCGATCTTGGGAGCCACTATAGAGACTCACATGATAGATGCGCGTATCCAGGGGCTTTCACTACTTACTTCCAACAAAATTGGGTTCTTTAAGGCTATTGAGCGAGCTATCCAGTATTTTACGGTCGCTTATGGCTGCCACAATCTGGCTGAGTTTCTGGTAGGGAACATAAGATTTGAAGTTTGGCTTGTGTCGTTTGACGTGTAAACGTTCAAATTTGAACGTTTACACGTCAAACGACACAAACCAAACGTCAAATCATATGTTCCCTACCAAAAACTCAGTCAGATTGTGGCGGCCATAAGCGCTCGTAAAATTCTGGATTGAAGTAATTGCATATTCGTAATCTGCATGACAAATGGAACTGAAATCCAATATTTCATCAATTTTGGAGCACCGGAACTGTTTTTAATAAGTGTGATTGCATACGAGGGGCATGTGGTGTGCTGAATCGAAAATACGTTTTGTTAAAAAAAATACTTTAAAATCTGTTAATACTCGAAAATTGCCAATAACTCGTGAAATCAATTTGAAAACATTGACATTGACAAAACTTGATAATTGAACAGTATAGATTGGCAACTTGTAATCCGTAGTCCTGATGCAGAACATGCAGTTGATGTATTCTATCAGAATATTTATTCTATTCTAGAACAGACAGTGCCCATGAAGCAAAAGAAAAAAGTCAATGCAAAAACACCAATATGGTATAATAAATCTTAGAAACAGAAAGCAGAAAGCTCATAAAGCGTACAAGAGAAACAAAAATGATGAAAATTTTACCTTTTATCTTACTATTTGTGACCAACTTAATTTAGAAATTGAAAATGCATATGAAGAACACAATAGAAAGATTGAAACTAACATTAAGTCAGACCTAAAATCCTTTTTTAACTATGTTAAAGAAAAGCAAAAATCCAAGAGCTTTCCATCAAAAATGCAATTAGACAGTAGGTTGGGCAATACTCCTAGTCAGATTAAATAGTAACTTATTTGCTGACTTCTTTCAGGAATGGACTCAACTACTGCGGGTGCCGGACAGTGAGGCAATGCTGATCTCTCTACGGCGGTCAATTCCGAATTCTTTTCATCGGTTGTCGCAGCTGAGGACAAGGTTTATGCCCTAGTGGAACTTTTACCCAACCTCGAAGGCGATGAAAATGAGGATGAAAACAAGAAACAACAACTCAAGGAAACCCTATATCCTCACCGCAATTCCAACAAGCGCTGTCCATCCCAACAAACATTGAATGTTTAATAAGAGCTTATTCAGGCAAAAATAAGATTCTTCCCCTACAAAATGGCTTATTCAGCTCTTAATCAGCTCAAATTGTTTGTTGGGATGTTTTCCAATGCCCTGCAATATGGACAGCTGGGACCGGTCGTATCACAATTTCAGCTGAACACGGAAGCCGTGGCAGCAGCCAACAATGGCGATTTGGAACAGTTCATCAAAGCCGAGGGGGGCGACACATCTAAATCTCAATTCTAGATGCTCAAAAAATCTCACACTAGCGAATCAATCTTCAAAAAATCATCTTTCATTTCTCGCATCTACTTGCATCGTGCTTCATCTTTTTGCAGGAAATCTTCAAAATCGACATAAATCTTCCTTTTATCTACTCAGCGTGCGTGCAGCTAGCCACAGCAAAACATAATCTTGTCTGCATCGTAGATAGAGTCGCCCCCCTCGATCAAAGCTTTGGAGAATGCCTACAAAAAGAACACCGATGTGGACAAGAATAGTCTTCCTCGGAGAGCCCCGAAACAGCAAGGAAGAGAATGGCACCACGGCAGCCAAAACCAGGAAAAAGGATGATGATCAAATGACATGATAGATTTGAACAAACCGCTTTCCAAGGGATTCCGTTTTTTGTTTGCGTGCAGTATATAAACTATACACTGAAACAAAGATAATAGTTAGGAATACTATTTTGCAGAAAACACTTATTTTCAGTAACCAACAATCAATACGAAACTAACGATTTTAAATTGGCTCACCACTTTAGTAGCCTATTGGTCCCAAGCAAACGATTAACGTACCCTATTCTAGTTGAAATTCTATTACTACACTATGTTTGTTTTGATTCGCTATGAAAGTTTGACAGATAACATCAGGGGTGTGTGGATTCATGCAGAACATGCAGGGGTAAGTGAAATAGCTTGGGACTGCTTGGGACCGTTGTTCTGGTACTGAGTGAGCCAAAAATAATAATGATTTTCTTCGGGACCCAGTGGTCTTAGAGTTACCTCTATGGCCTTAGCCTGATTGGTAAGGTAAGTATCCGCTCCATAGATTAAATTTTTACACTATCATAGCTTAAACTTTATACCAAGTGTGAATAGCAGTCAACAAAGCCTTCCCAAAGTATTCATGTCTAGGGTGATTATTTCTTACCACACCTAGATTAGTCGTGCTGCAAGCGGTAGGTGGGTAGGTGGCGCGTTTTGTTTTTTGTTTTTACTGTGGTCCAAGCTGGCGGTCATTAGTGCATATATGAAAATTGTGTCGATTAGACTGGAACTGGTGGAAAATGTTCTGACCATTACGTGGAATCCGTTGATTGAGTTTCATGGTGTTTCACAAAAAGTGGCGCATACGGGTGCACTACCACTGTCTGGTAGGTTTGCTTACATTTGTTTGGTTGTGAATGATTAGCTAATGGGAAATTTATGTCAGCTGCTGACGTCGAAGTTGGTCCATCATGGAGAAGACGAAGAGGGAATCTTCGGATTTATGGAGGAGGACATCAGGAATGAGGAAGCTCGTATCCGAGGACAAAAGTGCTACACACTTAATCTAGCTCGGTAAAATCTCCAACAGCCGATTACCTCGGCATTTACTTTTGCTGATGTCTCTGCAAAATATCTGTTTGTTAGCTGATATCTCAGCAAAATGTTATTTGTTAGCTGAGTCTCGGCAATTGTTTTACTGAATCTCAACGAAATAAATTGCAGAACTGCTCGGCTGTTGGAATCTTGGCGAAAAGATTTAAGTGTGTACATCTGCAAGGAGCGGTATACTAACGTTTCTCGCTGCGTAGAGCAGTGCTTCTGTACATTTAATACGCTCTGTGGGATGCGGAAAAGGTGCCTGTTGCATACGTGCGATCCATGGATGCGTTCCAGTCGTGGTGCGATAAGCGCTGGTGGATAAGGTGAAATACTCTGAGACCGAGGCCGGTGGGATTTGCAACGATGAGATGGGACCGTACAGGAAGCTGGAATTGATTCGTGCCCCGTGCTGTCAGAATGGCTGGTTCCATCGGAGCTGCGTGGCACAGTTTGCCCAATCGGCGGGGTACTTTCTCAAGTGCCCTTTGTGCAGCAACAAGGGCAACTGTTCTAGGGATGCCTCGTTGGAGCTGGTAACTGGTCAAGAAGATTTGACTGCCACGAGGGACTTCCGTCGAAAAGTTGCTTCGAGCCATACCGGTCGTAAGGCTCGAGAAGCTCAGCTCGTAAAAGATCAAATCGTTGACTTCTCCGAAGAATAAAGTATCCTCCGCCAGATCATCGACCGTGTTCGATTTCAACTATCGTGTGAAGTTGAACAAAAAGCAGCGTCGAAAATCGATGTTAGAATTGCAGTCCATCAAAGAGGTCATCCGTTCCGACACGGATATGCTAACGGATGTTTCGGCGGAACAGGAGATCGTACGTACCAAAACGCCTGCCCAGAAATCCTTTGCCAAACAGTTCAAACTAAAGCTTCTCGGGCCAAATCCGAACCAAGAAAACGGTCGACCAGAGAGTCTGATCCGGAGCACGATTGCACAAGGTTTGATTGCTTCACCGAGGTTTTCACTTTTCTAAGAAAATAAATTATTTATTATATGAATTTATTGCTTTTCAATCAATAAAAATACCAACATTAAAATGACAGTGATCAAATACATTGTATAGATAATCCACCGGTAAACTACGCATGTATATTCAAAAGATAAACTATACCCCTTATACTTCAAGTTTATACTAGGCTCGTTTTGTTGGCAACTAAACGAAGCCTGGGGTCAACCAGGCGAATAGCGTTTTAGTGTGATTTTTATACTAATTAGTTTAATTTTTTTTTTCTGAGTGAACTTCATAAATCAACTGAATTGTAAATACATAAAAATTAAAAATACATAAATACGAAAAAATGCAAAATACACCTTTTCAAGTCGGGTAGATGAATCGAAAATACTCAAGTTGGCAGCCCCTCGTCGCTACCATCGCATTAAAATTAAAGAACCCGTGTCGCTTCTGAATACGGATGTGATTGAATTATATTCAGCCAAGTTGTCCCGCCCCTGTGTGCAACATGATTGCAGGGTCAACATTTTGTCACATCGCGTGAATCCCACCTTGCGGACGCCACCACTGTCCACTATAAATGTGTCATTTTCGCATTTTTCCTTTTCCAGTCATTCGCATCTCTTCTCCTCTCATCTTTTCCGCATAGGAGCTTGTCGAACGAACTTCACTTCGTTTCGGTTTTTCGTTTCCTTCAATCCATTCGTCATTCGATGGCTGTCGGTCGACGGACACGGTACTTGCAGTTTCGCGCATCGCACTACTCGTCGGTCCTCGTCTCGTTGTGTTGTCTTCTTTCCTCCTCCACTTCCAGTGTGTGTATTTTCCCATCCGAGAAGAAGTTTATGCATCAGCCCAAGGGGAAGCAGAGTGAAGGAAAAACGAAAGAAAGGAAAAAAAAGTCAACCGAACCAAAATCGGTCGCGTTTTCTGATCGGTGAAAAAATAATCGTCGTGATCGTTGATATTTGTGAATTGGATTGTGATAAATATTGTTCGCTGAATAGTGAAAAATGTAGCGGTTCTTGCGTTGATTGAGTGGTTGAAGAGAAATAAAATCGAAGAAACGCAAAGAACGACAAAAGGGGAAGAAAATTTTGCATGAAAGATTTTCCGTGGCTCATCGACACCAATGCGTGTGTTTTTTCGTTGGATGTGAACGTGTGTGAGTGCGTGTGGCTGTGTTCTGCTGGCCATTGAAGTTTTTAATAGCGGAGAAAAAAGGGTTTTATTTTTTTCGGTGAGCCCGTGAAGAAAGAATCGTCGGGGCTCTTCCCCCAACAACGGCAACAACAACAACATCAGAAGCAGCAGCCAGGCTGTGTACTTGGGAGCCAGTGAAAATAAAACAGCAGGGAAAATGTCAACATCGGAGAGGTGCGTTTTTTTTTCACTCCTTCGGTTTGAAAAATATGGTGTCAGTTTAGTGTGTTTCCGTTTCTGTTAATAATAATAATTATCATACGACGGACGGAAGAAGAATGGCATACTGTCGCAATGTTTTGAGCGGAAGTACTTGCGGAGCCTCACAGGAACAGAACAGGGATTACTCATCCCCGATCATTTTTTCTCTCCTGTCAAAATCGATACTCTTGATTTTCCAATGAAGCTTGCCTGCTTCCTCCCGGTCCTTTTTCCGGTTGCGCACGACGCTCTCCTCCTGTCCTGGACTGCACCGAACACAAGCAGCACACGGTACATTCCCCCTTTTCTCCCGGCCGGTGCTGCTGCGGTGCGGTGACTTCTCTTCCCGTTTCGTGTGTTTTCCCCCATTCACATTTTGAACACGATTATTTTCGGGATGAAGCAAAAGGAAAAACATTGACACTAAAATGTGATCTACGGACGACGGTGGCGGCGGTGGATGGTGGTGGCCCACACGGGAAAATGAAGGAAATCCCATCATCTGTTATTTTCGACGACGACGATGCAGCAGCAGCATCAGCAGAACAGGGAATCCGAAGAAACAGCAGCAGAGCAGTAGCCAAAACGGCGTGGAAAACATGTCCTTTTATTTTGGGCGTGACACTGTCAGTAGTGGTGCCGCCGTGGTAGACACGAGGAACAATATTTAATCGAGACGTAGTTGAACGGAAAGAAGAAGCACCACACAGGAAACGGATAGTCGGCGTCGTCTGGTTCGTCTTGCGTTCATGTGGGGGGTGCTGATGGAGGTGGCAGTCTGTCAGAATGTTTGACCAACGAAAATTATCTACTAATGTTTTAACCGTTTAAAACCGGTGTATGACTTCGAACCTTATGGTTACGTCAGAATCAGAAGATTTCCCACAAACTTGCTGAACGAAGTTCAGAATCACACTTAGCAATTATTACCGAGTTTGAAATTTTGACCCTGATTTCAAACACTGTTTCACTAAATTTAAATGCCAAGACACTGTCAGTCGTGTTTAAATAATCGAGTCTTACCATTGCAGTGAAGTTTTCCTTGTTTCGAAGCTATAAATCTAATAAATTAAAAGGTCTGTGCACAACACTTGAGGCCGTATTGGATCATATGTAATCCGTAATCAGCGGCTCGGGGTTCGAGATGTAGGAAACTCATCGATCGTAGAACTCGTTCAGGTGCATAGATTTTGAACTCAGCCAGAATCCCGGGAGAGTCGATTTCGCTTATCAGCACAATTTGCTGGAAAAACTGCCTGGTTAATCTTCCGCCTACGGTCAAGAGTTTCAATACACAGGAGTTGGAAACGATCTTCGTAGGGTTGGATCATTCCTAGGAAGGGGGGGAAGAGTATAACGAACACACTTAAATTTTTTCGCCGATTCCAACAGCCGAGTAGTAGTCTGCAATTTATTTTACAGATTCAGTAAAACAATTCCCTAATAAATATTGTATGGTTAATTTGCTTAACGACGTGTTCTGGGTATCATCCAAACCATTTGAGGAATAGTTCAATGATTTGGGTTATCGTTCGTTTATGGTTATTTTTTATTAGGGTTGCCGAGACTCAGCTAACAAAATTTAATTAAATTAATTTAATTTAATTTAATAACGTTTTGCTGAGATATCAGCTAACAAACAGATATTTTGCAGAGAAGTGAACGAATTTCCTCAGAAAATACTCGATCCTCGCTATCCAAATTGCTTCATACGGACACCATACTACTACAACAAATTCCACGATCGATCGCACTAGAGAACAGGCAGGTAGGATCCCCAAACTCATCAGAGATATTCAGATTTGCCTGTTAGCTTTGACAATCCGTGTAAAGTAGCTTAAATGTCAAAGCAGAATCAAGTGTAGTTCCTAGACCACGAACGTCGTCCACACGCTGCAGAGGTTGGTTATCGATCGTATAATTGGATGCAATAGGTTTTAGCTTGCGATGGAAAGTGATGATATTGCACACTCAACGTGAGAAAATTCCTAGAGGACCCTCTCTTCGAAACTATCGAATCGATCGTTAGGGGCGATCCATTTATTATATCACGCTAAATTGAGGAATTTCCAGCACCTAATGCATTGCTTGAAACAAAATCATAAACCCCTTAGAGAGTGACATAATATGTGCATAACCCCTTAATGAATATCGAGAATAGCAGTGGTCCCAAATTGCTGCCTTGAGGATCGCCTGAGTTATTTGAAAAATATTCCGATTAATCAGAGCTGATTTTCACACGAAGTTCTCGATTGGTAAGATACGATTCAAACCAACGAGTTAGTCCTTGAGTTTGGCAAAAGTACCCTTGAGGTCAAGGTATATACGTCGTCCACCTGTGCTCCTGCCTCCATATTCCATAGGCATAGGGAAATTGAAGGAGCGAGGTTTGTTGAGATCGAACGTTTGGTGTGGAAACCATGTTGGTCAGGAGGAAAGTAGTTTCTACAGCTCTCAAATAAAGGGTCGTTGATGATTATCTACTTTCGAGCAGACACAAAGTGAAGTAATTCCTCGGTAATTCTCCACATTTCACTTCTTGTTTCCTTTCTTGAAATTCTGGAACATGAACGAAGATTTTCAACGAGAAGGAAATACAGCTAGTTGTAATAAAATATTGAACAGCTTTGAAAGTTCTATTGAGCATCCTTTGAGTATGAACGATGGAAAGCCGTCAGGCCCAACAGTGTTCGAGAATTTCAGCTTCTGGATGGCAGAGTCGATGAGGACCGTGAAAATATCAAAGTTGAACGCGTCTCTGGTAGTTTATCTGATCCCTTCTGGAACTTGGCTTAACGATGCCGGTGAGTCGTTGAAAACACTCTTGAAATGCTCTGCCAGGAGGTTAAATTTTTCTAAAGAAGTGTTGGTTTTTTTTTTTGCTTACATGAATCTCAACCGGTAGCCCATCCTCTTTCCTTTTTGTCTTCACAGACATCAAGAATAGCTCTGAATTACCCCGGATATTGGTCTGCATACAGTACTGGACAAAATGAATCATACGCTCAACCCAAAAAAGTACATTACATCATATTTTTGCTATTTTGCACGTAATTTCAGCAGTATATTCAGAATAGTTCAAGTATTTCTCATGGTGCATTCAATTAGCTGAATGAAAATTGTTATAATATTCTGCTATTTTTGTTACAAATTTAAATAAATATATGCTCACTTTTGTGCTTGGACAAAATAAATCATACACTCCTAAGATTTTATTTTTTAACCACCGAATGAAAACAAAATCTGAAGATTTGGCATCACGGCGTAATATTTGACAGTTCTTGTTCCGGGAAGCGTGCGCATCGCACCATTGTGTTTTGTTTGCGTCGATTTGAAAAGTGAAAAATGTCGGGAAAGCAGATTTCGCTCGATGTTAGAAATTTGGTTATTCGCAATCTTGAAAAAGGAATTTCTTTTCGGAAAATGCCGAAAAGTACTCGATCTCAGTTGGAGCTGTTCAGCACATATGGAAAAAGTACGAAACACGAGGAATTGTGAGGAATTTATCCGGACAAGGACGTCATCGTGATGACATCAGAATTGTTCGAATGGCTAAGCAGAATCCGAAGTATTCGTCGAGGCATATAGTGGAATCGATGGATCTCAATGTAAGTCGACGTACTGTTTGCCGGCGACTTAATGAGAGTGGTTTGAAAAGCTGTTTGGCATCGAAGCGTCCTTTTATCAACAAGCGGAACCAACGGAAGCGACTGGAATTTGCTAAAAAGTACGCCGGAATGACTGTGGACTTATGGAAACGAGTTCTGTGGACGGATGAGAGCAAATTTGAGTTATTTGGGCAGAAAAGACGATCAAGGGTTTGGCGAGGTTCCGGTGACGCTCTTAAGGAACCATACATTCAAAAGACGGTTAAACACGGAGGCGCAAATATCATGGTATGGGGAGCATTTGCGTGGTCTGATGTTGGAAGCTTGGCTCATATAAAGGGAATAATGACTGCAGATGTGTACATTGACTTGTTAAGTGAAAATCTGGAAGTTTCGCTACTGAAAACTGGCCTGGAATCCAATTACATTTTCCAACAAGATAATGACCCAAAGCACACAGCGAAGAAAACAACGGCATTTTTCAAATCCAAAATTTGGAATGGCCTCCCCAATCTCCCGATCTCAACCCAATTGAGAATTTGTGGTCTTACTTGGACAACAAAGTGGATAAAGCATCGGTTTCCAACAAAAACGTTTATTTTGAAGCACTTGAAGCAGCGTGGGAGAATATCGATTCAGAATATCTACAAAACCTCGTCGAAAGTATGCCAAGACGGTTAGAAGCAGTGTTGAAAGCAAAGGGTGGTCATACCAAATACTGAGAGTGTTAAAATGTAAGTTGAAAGTTGAATTAAACAAGAATTTTCAATAAGAAATCAGGCGTATGATTTATTTTGTCCAACTCGAAATTCTCTTTTCACAACTTATAAATGATGATTGAGAAAGTCATACAATATATTGAATATTCTATACCTGCACAGTTTTAGCGAAAAACATACAGAAGTATTGCAGAACAAACCATTATTGTATGTTTGAATTTACCTGATATATCGAGCTCCAAAGAAAAATTATATGGGTGTATGATTTATTTTGTCCAGTACTGTATGTCTTGAGTACTTCTTGTATAGAAAACGGTTGTACATTTGATAGTCATTACTTGCTAGCGAAAATAATCGTGCAGGTTTTGGAGGTCTCCTCAGAGCCACACAATCCATTATTAATCGACTCACACCTTCGTTAACGACTGCATCAATGGACGAACACAAGTCAAGCGACTGCCAATCTACCTGGACCAGTGAGTGGTTCAATGCAACGATGTCACTTCTACGAAAGTCATCAACGGTGTCTTCATAGGGAACAGGAGCTGATCGATTGATGAAAGTTTTCAAAGCTGGATGATCGGCGTCTAGGTGTATCAGAGTTTGGGATGCCTCACAGTGGTACAGAATTAATTTGTGTTAAACC